GTAAAGGCTTGCATTTCCGCTGAGAGTCTGAATCATATTTGGTAGAAGTCGAACTCCATCTTCGTATGTGGGAAAGGAAGATAGTCCACCGAAAACCAAAAGTGCAAAAGCTCACCAAGCATCCCTCAGGGTGCCTGGCTACGAAACTCTTATGAGTTTACTTCGTTATGGCGGTTGTGCTAGGCGGTTATGCGGCGTTGCATTTTCTGCGGCGGCGCTTTTTTTTGTCGAGTTGGCGAATCGAACTCCAGGCCTCGAGGAGGCGGGAGTAGTGTCTCTACCCAGGTGAGGAGGGGAGGGCGCAAGCGGACCCATTACCAGGTCGGCCAAACAGCCGAGGGACGGACCCATACCGGCTGTTGGTCATGGAAGGGGGTCATCGTATTCTGTCTTATGTGCAGTGGGTGTCCTTCACTTGGGATTCACCATGGCACAGTGCCGGTGGACTTCACTTGTCTGCCCGGTTGGGTGAGGTGACGATTACCGGGGTGAAGCCCCCTCCGGGAAGCGTTACTTTTGAAGAGATGTCTGTCAACATGTTCGAGACCATGGCAACCCAAAAATAATGGTATATTCGGATGGGAAAAAGTCAACTAAGGAAACGGTATGCCAGTTTCGTTGCTCCGATATCCGTCCCTGGATCGGTATTAAATGTGACTCCTGACCATGAAATAGCATGTATATGACACCCGCAAATAGACGCCTCCATAGATCATCAAACATCATCACATATTCCGACTCCTCGCTTCACCACACCACTTCGTCCTACACGTCTCGCATCGTCATCTCCCCAGCATCACCTCTCATCATCTCCTGGTACAGCGGTGCTAGGCTCAATAACAATCTGCGGCAGCCTCGTGAGCCTCAAGCTCGGCAACTGCGGTATCCCGCCCACGCCCCTGGACAACCTCCTGTTCTCAGCCTGCGTCTGCGGCTCCTGATCCTCCGTCGCCGAAGCAGCCAGGTCAGCCATCTGCGCCGACAGCCGGCGATTCCTCATCTGCGTTGGGCCGGGGTAATCCGGCGGCGGCTCGTTGTACGGACTCTCCGCTCTCGACCTCGACTCCCGTGAGTTGGCAGGCGTGAGTTCATCGAGACTAACGTCGTCGTATCCCGGCGGTGAATGGGGGGGCATGTCGATTTCGCCCAAGTCCGCCTCGGCGGCATCAATCATCTCTGGACTCGACCCAGCCCTCGGTGTGTTAGGCCCGGAATTGGCTCTTGATCTGTTTCCCGCGCCGTGCAAGCTGAACGTGCTATCCCCAGTCGTCATTCCAGGTGACCCAGGCGGACTATGACCCGTATCGATGCTGAGCACCGAACTCGCGCTTCGATCCCGCCTATGAAACAGACTTCCCGGCCCAGAGCCGCTCGCCGATCGTGCAGAAGGCGCAATACTGGCCGCGTCGCTGAGCAGCCCCACGCGTTCACTCTCCGTGCTGTTCGCCCTCAGCCGCGTGCCATCAGCTCTCACAACGCCCACGTCGTGGTAGCTGACGCTACTAACAGCCCTCTGCCTCGTCTCCTTGATCCTCTCGTGCTCCCTCCTCAACTCCTGCACCGCCTCGGCAGCGTTAGCGTCCGCATTCTCCCTCGCCCTCCGTCGCAATTCTTCCAGCGCAACAGCGTCGTTCCTCGCTCTAGCCTCTCGTCGCCTTTGTCTTCTCTCTTCCCGCTCCTGTATCTGTCTTCGTCTAGCCAGTCGTATCTGATATAGCGCCTCCATCTCCTCCTCCCGCAACGCCTCCTCGTCTTCAGCAGTGGGCATTTCGACCACCACGTCGATCCCGCCCCTCTCCCCCTCCCTACCCAGCACCTGCTCGTGCTCATTCGCATCCATTCGGTAAGCAGGCAGCGTCATGACCGATCGAACAGACGTATTCCTATCGACCCCCGCTTCTGTTCCTGCCGTCGAAGCACCACCGGTGCCGGGCTGTCTGAGCGAAGCGCGAAGGTTATTTCTCGCATCGCGCATGTGGTTCGCTCCCCTCGTGGCGGCATCGCCGTCGTCGTCACCGTCGGAGGGCAGCTGGTAGCGGTGTCCGTACTTGGGCACCTTCCAGTCGCTCCATAGTCGTTTTAGGAAGGGGGTGGGTATGTACTTCGGTTTCTGGTGGCGGCTGCGCAGGCGGCGGAGGCCGAAGAAGGTGGCTGCTATGAGGACGACGGAAGCGGCCACGACGGCGACGATCTAGGTCCGAGAGTTAGCCACATGATTTCGGGAGGAGGAGGATGAAAGGGGGAACAAGAAAAGACGTACGATGGCTGGTATTGGAGGGCCTTTTTTGCCGTCTCTCGGGTATAATGGTGATGTGTTGAAGGTTGTTGTGGATGAAGAGTCGAGTGCGCGCAGAGTTAATGACGCCGGGACGCGCATTGTGAATTGGGCGGCTGGGAGGACCTGAAATGATATATACAAGAAATCGGTGATGCTGTGTGTCGTTATCGTGTTATGAGAGAGGATATATAGACTCCCTCATGGCGGAATCGCCGGACGGAAAGCAGAAACGCTCTCGTGAGACGGGGAGAGTCAGATGTTTCGCGAGCGGGAGGAGGCTGGCAGTAGTTATTCGTACAGTTCGTGGTACTCGATGGCGCGGGTTTGGAGATGGTCGACAAGATACACTATTCACACGATCGGGTTTAAAGCCACGGCAATGCTTCTAGAGGTATGCAGCGATGAGAATCACAAAAACGAGCGTCTTTGCATAAGGATTGTCGAGAAGGTAAATGTCAGGGATTCGGCTCGTGGTTCTTGAATATCTCGTCAGCAGGCGCCGGAAAGCTGGAACAAGCGAAGGAACAATGTAGGAACTAGCGGAGCTGGCCAAGACCTTGAACACCACTGGACCCCTGGCTCCAAAAGCGGGCGAAGCTGACCAGGGTCCCATGCGACTGATCGCTCGCTGGTGACGATGGCTGCGACTCTGCCGAGAGACACAGACACGCGGTTGCAAAAGCCACAGTTCCCCCCTACAATCAAAAACAAACTTGAAGATGAGGTTCCTTCCTTTTCAATAAGTTTTCCGATCATCACCTTCCGTGTTCTCAACGCAGAACGGTGAGAACCTTCAGTTGCTCTTTCCTCGAACTGAAGCAAACCTCGTGAAGCAACGCGCCTTGCCATTCACTAGCCCAATCGATACGGAGTTTCCTCGCAACTTCCCTGTGCGTCGTCCAATAGCTTGTCGACATTGACGAGACAATCATCCCACTTTTGCCATCCGGATTTCTCGTCTCTTCTTCAAACAACTGCAACGTCCTTTCCATCAAGTGATATCACCCAATGCAGTATCCATTTTCGGCCGCTGTTTCAAGAACTGGCAGCGCTACAGAGCCAAGATGACGGGAGATGATGAGATCGGATTAGGTAGGTATTGCTATTATCAGCTCTCTCATCGGCGTCCAAAAAGGGCATCATCTGTCTGCCTTCGCCTTGCGCAGTCAGCTCTACCCGGGAGGCTGGGTTGACGATCCATCGCACTTTTTTCGCGATGGCTGTGGCTGTGCTCCTCGCTTTCCCACATGATTTAATCAATCTAGACTCCCGGTCGACTGCCCTCAGTCAATTTACGCTGTGAGACCAGTGCGGTTGTCGTACCTTACAGCTGGTCGAGTCAAATACGACGCTCTCCACAGCGATGTCTGAGACACTTCTGCCGTCCGCTTCCCGAGGAGCGATGTCGAGTCGGCTAACGAGCCAATGGATGGTTACACATTGTCGTCTATTGTCCAATCAGGTGGCCGAAGCGAGCTCTCTTTTCAGCTCTGAGACTGGTGATGCTAGCGCTGACTGCTACTAAGACATTTCACTGATTCGTCTCGCAGGGCTGGAGTCACTTCCAAGGAGCTTTGGGTTCCAGGTTTGCATTTGGAAGTGCAATTGTAACCACTATTTCCCCCTGCGCGAGACTGCATGTCGTCCTGTTATGCCTCAGACATGGCACCATGGATATTACTGCCTTGACCCCTCTTCAGCAACGGCCGTCTTCCTCACCACGTACATCCACACAACACCACGCTCAGCTCAGCGACAGTGACCGATGACACTCGTCTCGTTCAACCACTTGCAGCAGTCCTTGAAGGTCTGACGCGTATTATGGTTGACACCGCAGATCTATACCGTCTGTCAGCTTCGCGTTGGCACGTCTGGTGTCCAGCTGTCTCTCACATTGTTTTGGGTCTTCAACCCCATATCCCTGCAGCAGACTGAAGTCTCGTCGTCCATCAAGCTTCCGTCCACCGAGTTCATACAGATGCAGTCGTCGGGCTTCAGCTTCCACCCGCAAGAGCCGAGGGCGCCGTGCGTTAAGGCGAGAGTTGCGAGAAGAGCGGACGCTTTCATGGCTGTTATGATGGAAAAGGTGTTGCCGAGTCGCGAAGCCAGCACGAGCACCGGGGGACGCATCAGAGTGAACTCGGCTTCATCTTATACTCATGGGGAGAGGAAGAGATTCATCCATGGAGGGCCCCCTTTGACCCGGAAAACCTTCTCAGTCACGGTGCTTGGAGGAGACGGCGCAGCTGTCAATATCTCGATATTGATGAATGCTACTGTTCTCTACGACTTCATCGCAGCGGACACTGAGATCCTACAGTCACCAACACCCGAAAGTCTTAACCGAGGCAGCATCGCTTTGGCGTTGTCCAACATTGTTGGCATTCAGCCTATACGGCTGCTCCCTGATTGCGAGGTCCTATAAAGTGGAAGAATATCAGCACTATCAACACCACTCTGGCGAACGCGTACACCAACTGCACTTCGCCCTTGATGAGCATCCTACTTGCTTTACCGGGTCACAGTTACCAACGCAAGCGCGCCATCCACTTGGTCCAAACCCACGCAGTTTCCTTCCCAAGCTCCAACAAGCGTGCCCTATTAATAACCCACCCAATTCTATCCTGACTCATGTCCCTGCCCACCAAAGATATAGACCACAACCCGACAGCGCCTTCCATCAACGACTCACGTCTACGACAGGTGCTTCAACACCTGTAAGTCTTCCGTAGTATAGTGGTTAGTATATGAGCTTGTCATCCTCGACAATACGCTCGGGACCCGGGTTCAATTCCCGGCGGGAGAGTCCGCCATCCGGTATCTTTTTTGTCTTTTTATCCTTCTGTCTGTCTCTCTTTTGTCTTGCTGAGTGAGCCTGGTAGGCGCCTTGGTATCTTAGCGGACAACGGGTCATCTCACATTTTGTCTTCTTGCGACGTTCGGTTCGTAGTTGCTTTGGCCGGCGCACAGCGTTTTCTGCTGGTGCCTGGAACGGCGAAAAAGAGGATCGGGCGCACTGCCCTTCACCACCTCGGACCTACGATCACCAACCCTTTGGCCCCAGAGCAGTCACCCTCAGTTCCCAGCTTTGCGCATAGCCTCCAGGGACGAAAACCGTGGAACCTGATGACATGATATTCTGTCTCTTGCAAGTCCTTGTCAGAAGTCGGCTATGGTGTAGGGTAGGTATCAGAGTCGTAACGCCGCTGACTGCTCACTTGTTCTGCCTTTGCTCCGGCCACCCTGTTTATTCACCACTCCGACCTCCTCATGCATTATCTCCCCTCTCTCCCACCACCTGGTTGCCTCTCATGCCAACCGCAGGTAACTCGGCGACATACTGCTCTGGAGTGTGCGTATCCGCCTCGCGTAACTCATGTTGGTAGCCTAGCGGGGAAATCCCCGTAAACATCGGATTCGACGCAGTAATGGCATCCAGCTCGGGCATAGGGCGGACATTCTTCGCATACAGCTCAGAGACAGGGTTGCTGTCTAGGTGTGGCACGTCCGGCGTGATGTCCGTGGCAGGGCGGCGGCTACGTTTTCTCCCCCAGAGCCAGAGGAACAGGCCCAATAACAGGCTAGCTGCCAAGACCACTCCGACCGCGGTTCCGGCTTTGGCGCCTTCTGAGAGGGAGCTGCTGGACGGTGGTCGGGGTGGCGGAGCGGTGTCCGGTTCCGACGTATTGTTCGCCGCCGGGATGCTCGTTGCTGTCGGCTCTGATACTGTCGGTGCTTGTGATGCTGTGGTGGGAGCTGGCGTGGTCGACGACGGAAGGGTGCTTGTCGTGTGCGTTGCTGCGTAAAAGAGCGAAATATCCTCCGGTCGCCAACGGACTTGTATTGCTGGCACGCGCGACACATCCAGGGGCTCTGTGTATGATGCATATGGTCCATAGCCGCATTGATAGAAGCTATCCATCGCCAGGTCAGCGCGAGTCACCGACGGTGTCTGTCCGAGTTTCTTGTCCACGTACCTCGGAACGCACCAAACTGCTGTTTCACTGGATGTGACGGAGAACTGGCCGCCGACACGGGAGTCTGTATAACCACAGCCCTTGGTGTAACCACTCGGACATACGGCAGGCGAGTAGAAGCCACCATAGCCCCAGACAGAGTAGAATTCGGGCGGGGCGCAACTCGTGGAAATGGAGGCGTGTGTCTCTTGAATCGGCCATGCGCAGCCCGACGGTTGGGTAAATATCGTTGTCAAGGGCACGGCCAAGGGTGTGATGCCTATGGGGCCACTAAACGTTCGTGTGCTAAGCTCCGTCATGACGGAAAGACGCTGATGAACAGCAACGGGCTAGTACGTGATTTCGATGAGGCATTGCTTCGAGAGACCATCATTAGCGAGGCCGCGATGACCACTCTCTTTATCAACATTGCGACTCTCATCCGTTCAGGTTGCCCTTGTGACACCTGACGTGATGGCACTGGATACGTGTGACACAGAACTCCTCACGTATTCTCGTGGGGGGTTAGGGATGGTCGAATCATGGTACGGGGAACTACCAACAGACATTGCGCAGTGCATAAGCAAGATGCTTGGTGACTTGGGTCTGCTGCTTTCCGTGCAGCCATCCAAGTCCAGCGTTAGAGCCAACGGCCCAACAGCACTCCAGGGGTTACATCGCAAGCTTGCTGGAGAGAACGCTGACGTCCGGCCCGGACAGGATGAGGTCGCCCAGATATGCCGAAGGCCATATTGAAGATTGAAAACCGAAGAAATGGACGTCACGGTACATAGGACTTGAACATTTTCTTCTGGTAAGAAAGGTTGAGCAAGATGTCAACAGGCGATACAAGCTGGACGAACCCTAACCCTCGGAAACGATGCAAGGCACGTGACGCGTCTCAGGATGCCTCGGCATCGCTTGTGCAGTGGCGCCAACAGCGCCGGATCCGTCTTGAATAAAAGTGCAGTCGCGAGTCGCGACAAATTGTCGAGGGTCCTGGGATTTTATGTCAAGTCTCGTTTTAGCGAAGCATTGGCGTCTGGATAATCATTATTGATTCAGTTTTCTCTCCTTTTCGGCGTTGAGCTTACCTGATAATATTGGAAATCTCGTTTCACAATTCCTCATTCCCGCTTTAGACTTGCTACCACCGCACTCGCTATAGCAGAAAAAATAAACTCAAGATGTAAGAGGAAGTTTCAAACCTTCAAACACGTGATACCTACTGACCATCACCAGGGCTGCCACCTTCCCGGCCGGCATGCCCACCGTGGCCGAGACGGTGAACCACCCGTCCTTCCCGACGGCCATATTCAACCTCACACCAACACGCAAAGGCAAACTCCCCGTCGCAGCGGGCCGGGGCGGTCCTTTCGACCTTGCCTGGGAGGTACACGGCACCGGGCCGATCAAGCTCCTCGTAAGCTCATCTCTGTATTCATCTCGTCTTTTCATCAGGTGTTAACGCTCTCACCAGCTCATAATGGGTCTTGGCTCCCTCAAAACCTCCTGGCAGCGGCAGACGCTCTACTTCGGCCACGAGCACGGGGACAAGTACTCCGTCCTGCTCATAGAGAACCGCGGCATGGGCGACAGCCACAAGCCGCTGATGCGGTACACCACTTCCGGCATGGCGCGGGACGTGCTCGAGGTCCTGGAGCACATTGGGTGGATCGCGACGCCGGCCGTGAGGCAGATTCACCTCGCTGGTATCTCGCTAGGCGGCATGATCTCCCAGGAGCTGGCGTTGCTCATCCCCGACTCCCTCAGCAGTCTGACGCTCATCTGCACCGCGGCGGCAATAGAGAACACGACGGGCTTCGTCGAGAACATGATCAGCAGGGCAAACATGCTCATCCCGCGGTCGGTGGAGGTGACCGTCCCCCGCACGGCAGCCATGTTGTTCCCGAAATCCTACCTCGTTGGACCCGACGACGGCGTCATCCCGGACTTATCCAAGTCCATCCCCGGCGTTGAACCTCCGAAGCCCGTCCCCGGCTACCCGCAAATACAAGAGTACCGCCGCTTCGACAACCGCTACCAGCGCTTCGTGGCGGAAGAGATGCACAAGCGCTCCGACCCCAAGAGGTTTCAGAGGAAGGGCTTCATCATGCAACTCATTGCCGCCGGGTGGCACCGCAAGACGCCCGAGCAGCTAAAGGTATTGGGGGACCGGGTCGGGCGGGAGAGAATATTCGTTATGCACGGGACGGACGATGGGATGATTAGCGTGCCGCATGGGAGGAAGCTGCTTGAGTACTTGAAGCCGAGGAGGGGGAAGATATTGGAGGGGATGGGACATGCGCCTGTTGTGGAGAGGAGGGAGTGGTTTAATCGGGAGTTGGAGGAGCAGATTACTAATGGGGAGCGGCTGGATGGGAGGGCTTAGGGTTGTCATGATAGAATATAGAGGGCGGGAGGGTTGGTTTAGAGAGCGTGGAACTAAGGTAGGGATAGATGGTGTCTGTCTTGAACTTGGCGCACAGGTAGATGGGGCTATGATAGACTGAGATTCTACATCTCGAACAACGAACTGTATTCGGTTAGGATCATGATCTAATCGACAAACAACATGGCCGCATATGCACACGTGGAGGACCCGATTGCCCCCACTTGGGGTGGAATTTCCAAGAGCCGCCCAAGATGTCCAAGATGTCCCAAGCCTCACTATATTATATTCCAAGAACCTGGTTCCTGCTACTGTGGTCAATACGGAAGGTGACAAGAGCGCCTCAAATAACAGCAATTGGATGTGTCACGAGAAGGATGAGTGATCAGATCAGCTCCTTCTATGTTGGAAAAAGTCTCGGATTGACCCACCATTACGGATCGTCCCTCCCGAGCTGACGTTGCTTTTACAACTAGCAAAGGGTGGGCGGAAGCTGTGTTCCATTGCACATCCCTGATGCGGCTCCTTCTCTCACATTTCATCCTTCATCAACGAATATGCAACTGTCAGGTTTCGATACGGCATCACTCCAGCGCAGTTAGTTACAACCCGCGGTGGCTTGCGCGACACTCACCAATTGGCTGATGGCTATTCTGGATCTCCAGGGGCTCGCTGTGGTTGTCGGGTTTCAGCCTCTTGGCTCTGGTCTGGGCATTCATCAATTGCGATGCTGCAAATGTCTTGTCCGCTCTTGTCCGGAGTGACAGAGTGTGATGTTTGCCAATTGTTGCCAATGCCCAGAGAAAAGGGCGGCCTTCGATCGCGGCGTGGCGCCGTCCACTTTCTTTCCTGTCTTTCCTTTGCTCTTTGCTCCTTCCTTCGGGGTTTTATTAACACGCGTCAAGGTCCGTCGCTGCCTTTGCCTTGACGGACCCGACCTTTTGAGTTCATCTCTTGCTTCCTTCCTACAGTGCGTCAAGTGATTGAGATTGCCGAAGCAGCTCTGAATCGACGGTACGAACTTCGTGACTGCTTGCTCCGTCTGGAAAGAATTGGAGCCTTGCGGCGTCACTTGTGGCTCTGTTGTTGGGGCAGCTCAAGGTTTATTCGTACCTGGCATTTGCTTTTACCGCATCGTTCATCATCTTGCTTTGGAGATCTCTGGGGCTCTTTCCACCTCTTGCTTGGTGCCCAGACTGTGGTTGTTTCGCTCCCTCGCTCACCTCTTCACTTCCAACTCTCTGTCTCTCACACGACAATCAGGTTGTCCAGCCTTACTGGCAAGCAGTACAACCTGCGCCTCCATACCTTATCTCTTAGCGGTTTTGGATACTGAACCTCAACCATTCATTATCTCCCAAAAGCTCCTCTAAGCCACCCACTATGAGGTCAATACACACCCTCGCCGCCGGCACCCTGCTGCTCGGCTCGGCCATGGCCAACAAGCCCGTCCCAGGC